GTATTTTTATTTGAATCCAAATGGGGGGTACTTCCTTATTTACATTGTAAACTTAAGTAAATGGAGTAATATAAAAATAAATAAAAGTAAAAGGACAAAGACATTTACTTAAATGTTGAAAATGGAAATAAGGTATAGAGAGAAAAGAAAAAAAAAAAAAGTAATTTTTTGGTATTTTTTTCAATTTTTTATTACAAAAATATTGGCTGCTAGTGTTAAAAGTAAAGAGTATTGGTTGGTTTTATAGAAAAAACATTCAGTATTTTTTGGGTATTTTTTCTATTTTTTTCATTTTTTTATTGGGCAAAGGAAGCACTGTAGCAGGCACTGTAGCGCGCTGACGTCAGATTGCCCGGGCTGGCGCTCGGGCCAGCCCAGGTAGCTGGGCCCCACTCCTTGCCCTGGCAAATCTTTGTTGCTGGAAACCCCATTTTGGGTTTGCCCCCCCCAACCCTCCCCTTGGGCCCTTTGCTGGAAATGCTCATAGAGAAGCCAGAAAATCCCATTGTAGTAGCCAAAGCAAGGCCTTCTTCGGACTGCAGCCAATTCCTCCATGTGGCGGTTTTTTAAAGCAACATTTTAACGAGGCCACACTTATTGCATTATCGGATGCAGTTTTATGTTGATTTGTATTCCAACATTGATGATCAAATGAAATTCTTCTTTTCTGATTAAAAAAGAGCCAAGAAAGAAACTAGTAAATATTTGGATTTTGCTCGGTAGGCCCACTACGGAAGATCTTTTACCTGAATTATTATCCTTCTCCATGTACACGACAAGATTGTGAGAAACATATCTTAAAAAATACTTTCCCTGTTTGAAATCATTGAGCTTGGAAAATTCGTACACTACCATATGCTTCGAATATCCTTGCTACTTGCCAGTATGAAATCTTAAAAAGTAATTCAAATTGATTAATAATATATATAATTATGTTAATCATCATAATATTGCATGCGTACCTCATGAAATACAATTATGTCTACTGTCTACCAATACGTCAAGTATAATACACATCTTGAATTTCAAGAACTTAGACAGCTGCAATGGAGAAACATAAGTATAATACCTGAAATTATCACTGCAAATTAAAGATCCGCTAGACATTCCTATACATACATACATATATATATATATTGTATAATTCCGTCTCATCATTATGTTGGATTGTCCATTGATGGCTAATCCGACGCTCAACTGCAAGAGGGAAATCTAACCCTATGATTTGGTAGAGTAATTTCATAAGGTTGTAATTAAATCTAATATGTGTTTGCATTTAGGGACTTGAATATATGGATCATTAATTAATTAGATAAGCACTTGGACATATATATTGGAGAGGGGGTTTCTCACATACACAACTAAGCGCCATGAGAGTTCGAATTTGTGACATTTTGTATGCAATTTAATGTCATTTTTCATTACGCTAGATCCCGTTGCCTATCGCTTTTTGTTTACAACTCAAAATAGTCAAGACTCCATAATTGGGAAAAGTTTAAACCCATGTGCAAAATGAAGAAGGGAAATAAATAAAACCCATAAATTCATGGTTGAAAAGGTCAATAATTTAATAACTCAGATAATATTAGGGTTCTTAAGCACAAAATTTGAGGCTTTTTTCCTATCAAATGACAGAGTTTTTAGGGTTTAGTTTCTTAATGTTTGGTTTGTGTTAAAAAAAAAGAAGAAAAAAGACTATGGTGAACGAAAATTGGGTTTCCAAGTGAAATGTTTGTAGTAAATTGTTTTTCATATTCAAAATAATTCATATTGTTAATCATAAAACTATAAAAGGAGACATTTCTATTTCTTTTAAATTACGGTGCGACATATATGCAAAAATAATTTATCAAAAACACAAAAAGAGAAATCTCTATGTAATCAGCATTCAAGTAGTTGGAGATCCTACTTTCTGAGGAGGAGTAAAGTAATTTTCTTTACCATGCATCTATAATCCTTGCTTCTTCGTTCTCAAAAGCAAAAAAAAAAACTAGTTGCCTCTTTATTTCAAGCGTCGGCATAGCTGGACGTGGTGTGACTGACTGCTGTCAAATCGCACATATTTCTGAGCTTGAAACGTGGTGCAACCCAAAACCCTAAACTGGAAAGAAGGGATGAAGTCAATAATAGAGGGTCTTCTACTTTTCCAGTCGAAATGGAAGCCAAAACCCTAACTTAAAAAGGACAAAAAGTGGGACGTTTGGTTCCACCTGTCCCGTTATAATAAAATATAAATTAAAAACCCATAGAGAGATATTTCACAGATGGTCAGGTGAGACTTCAAACTTTCTGCAAATTAATTCATAAAGTCCGATTAGAGAGCAGCAAAATGACAGAGCCAAACACACCTTGCTCTCTCTTGACTGGAAATTATTCTGGTTACATGTGAGTAGTTTTAGCCTAATACAACTCTAACGACAAGGGAGGATGATGAAACACACTTGATAATAATTTTATTTAAAATTAACATATTATGGAGGAGCTTTGGGGTTCTGGGTATCTAGCTAGCGTCTTCTAGCTGCCGTTTCTCTCTGGCAATTGAAGTAAACGGCAGCGACAGGAAGACCCAGGTCGTTTTCAGCTGCGAAGCTTCGAGCACTGAAATGATCCCTTGAGGAAGGAGGGTTCACAGACTGCCTTCTTCTCTGCTTGAAGAGAACAAACACAAACCTGTGGATGCCAATGTTGGGCCTTGGCATCTCATAGCTCACCACCTCTCTTCCTGTTAAATTAATTTACAATTAATCTAACCACAGTTATGTTAATTAAATGGGAAAATAATTCAAAAAAGAAAACATTATTTGACTTACCAAATGTGGCATCTGTGGTGCCTGGAATATCTGTCACAATCCTGGGTTTAGTTCAAAATTAAAGCAAACTTGTCAGTTCCTAGCTAGGTATCTTTATACTTGGACAACTTTTAGCTTGCTATTCTAGCTAGGTATCAGTTCATATATTTATATATATTAGACGAAATTTGAAAATTCTGAATATAATTTATGAACAAATAATTGAGAAACGCAAACAAAAACAAGGTTTATGTAGAGGTATACAATGAATGTTTTACAAACTATTAGAAGCTTTGACTGAAGTCATTTTTTATGCTTGACAAGTACGGAAGGACTGTTAGGTGCTTGTATCTGGACCATTGTTTTATGGGTTTATATATGTTCTACTTTAATCTAATCTAAACTACCAGTACGCGCATGAATAAGGGGAGGAGGGGGCAAAAGGG